GCGGAAGTGCGTCGCGTGCGCCAAGGCGCCTCCCTCCGGCCCTGGGCCGCAGACGCCCGCCGCTGACCCGCGTGGACGCCTCCCGCGGCGACCCGGGGAAGTAGCTACAGTGCGGCGGCCGCGGTCTCTCAAATGAGGAAACTGAGGCTCTGGGGAAGCGCGCGTTCCGGCGCCACGGCGTCCCCGGGAACAGGCAGCCCCGCAGTGCGTGTTCAGCTCCTTCTCCCGTGGTTTGTGGTCACAAGTACCTCACGGTTGTGTTCTTCAAACTTAATTCACGCGCCTCAAAAATAAGATATGCTTGGTAGAGGCTGAACTTGGATGTAATGAACTGAATATGGTTTTGGTTTTTAAATCAAGAAATGAATCCCCTGGGTTTGTAAGAGAAGTCGGACTACCCCGGGCTCCTACTGTACATTCATTTTTTTTCATATTTTAACTAAAAAAAAATTTCATGATAGTTTTTGAGATGTGATCCCGTAATCACAGGAGCTGTTACGCATTCTTTTGTTTGTTTGTTCTTGTTTTTCTTCCGGTACCAGGAATCGACCTCACGACCTTGTGCTTGCCAGGCAGGCACTTTGCCCCTGAGCTAAATCCCCAGCCCCGTGCTATGTATGCTTAAAGAATCAGTATTTAGGAAATTACAGGCTTGCCTTTCAGAGAGCAGTGGGAACATACACCACTGCCACAGATAGAAGAGGCCCCTAAGTCTCCCACAACAAATTGGATCGAGACAACATGGTAGAAGATGTAACTTTTCTACCACAACACATGAGAATAATTTGAGGAACCTGTGAGTGTGAGTTACAGCTCCTAGGAAAATCTTCGAAGGAGGAGGGGGCAGGCTTTCCGTCTGGACTTCGAAAGGGCGCAGAATGGACACTGAAAACGGGGGGAAAGAGCAAAGGACACGAGACCTCAGCAGAAAACCAGTGTTAAGCAACAGGAGAGAGACAGTTTGGGGTGTAGTATGAAGGACCTTTAGGCTATCAGGTGAATGGAGAAACCAGGCTGAGCTAAGTAACGAATTCTGGACTAGAATACTGGAAAAATCTGGATAAGTCTTCAGAGGACCTATCTAGCAAGAGTGTCCAGAATGGCTAAACTGAATTGCATAGACAAGCTGGGAGTTGATGAAATGCTCTAACAGTGGAGAAAAGGAAGGCGCAGATATTGGCAACAACGACAAAGAAGTAAACATAAAAAAGCATTTTAAAAGCAGATATGTTAGGAGCTGAGGATATAGCTCAGAAGTAGAGCACTTGCCTAGTGCAAGACATAGTTTCCATTCCTGGCACTACCAAAAAA